GAAACTCACACCACCGAGTATAACTCGAAACGGTCTCCCACGTAAGAATTCCGACACCCATGACAGAAGCTTAGAAGGCAATCCACCCCGTGTCAGTTTCTCAAGCAAGAAACGGTGATTTACTGTCGGAAGCATTACTAAAGTCGAGGTAGCACAGCGCTACCGGAATCCAGTCATCAACACAGAGTAACCTCATATGAAAACAGTAAATTAGTGAGGTACGTCTTCGTCTTAAGGAAACCGTGCTGTTTCGCACCAAGTTAATTTATTCCTCTGTGCTCACAAATTCGATTGCTTATAAGCTTTTCTAAGCACGAGCCAGACACGAGTCAAACTGACGGGTCTATAGTTAAGAGGATCCGAGTTAGAACACCCTTGTGGATCTCAACTATGGTTGTCTTCAAATCACGTGGTAACTAACATTCCTGAAGCGAAAAGTTGGAGAATTCCGTGACAGGATGCTGAAATATACCAGCTAGCGGCTTGACTATTGCTTGATGTACATGATCAAAATCGGATGATTTGAAGGGGTTTATGTCAGTCATCACAGTGAAGACCTCTTGTGTAGTCAGAACATTATATGACTGCTTGTACAGTGAGGCTGCGGTAGTGCGGTAGCACATCTATTATCTCTCCGATGCAGAATCTGGAAGACCCGTAGTAGTAGTAGTACTTCCGCTTTATCCCCGGTTTCTACAGTCTGGCCGCCATCTTCCATGGTTAGGCAACCGACTGCCTCTCTTAGAGAAGCTTTAGACTGGACATAACTGCAGTAACACTGAAGTTGTTCTCGCACATCTTGCCAACCTGCGTATTTTGCCTGCTGCTGCAATTTGATAGCCGTATTCCGTCATTTTTGTATTGCAACGAACGTCAGAAGCCATTGGATTCTCGAAAACTGTACCAATTATCCTTACGCCTCTTGAGCGGTCTATCGATTCACTTGCTCTACAACCGGGCTTACTGAACTGCCTCACAGGTCGAAGCGGAACAAATTCATTCAGTAGTTGCATAAGTCGGTTTTCAGCCAAAGTCGCATTTGTTGCAGTGATGCTTGTTCCTAGACAGGAATCCACTTGACCTGGAAGGCCCTGTCCCTCAAGTTAATGCAATCAATCCGACTGAAATTTCTCACAAGACGAGGATTCATTGCAGGCCTCTGTGTGTTTAAGGTAAAAGTAAGGACACAATGATCAACTTTTGAATGGAAGGATTTTGGTGAGTATTTTTGTTCGTCGCAATCAGCCGACAATTCAGATATGTCGACCAGCTGTCCGGAAAAGCACCAGACGGCCGTTTCGCCCTATTGGGGCTCATCAGTGGTGCGCATCCTTCGGTCCTCTACGGAGGATCGAACCCATGACTGCTAGTGGCTCTTGTCAACTAGCCCGCAGCTTATGCAACTGCGTCATGGAGGACGGTATCTGACTATCGTGAATTGTTAGCTAAATGCGATATAGCCCGACGCATCCTCCACTGCCATGCAGGCACCTGCCATGCAGATGACAGCGGTCGGCCTTCCGGCGTCAGGACTTCCCGGTTGCGGCAGCTATGAATCGACATAGCATTTTGTGGAATCCGTACGGGCGAATTGGTATTACTTATGAATGGAAGGATTTTGGTGAGTATTTTTGTTCGTCGCAATCAGCCGACAATTCAGATATGTCGACCAGCTGTCCGGAAAAGCACCAGACGGCCATTTCGCCCTATTGGGGCTCATCAGTGGTGCGCATCCTTCGGTCCTCTACGGAGGATCGAACCCATGACTGCTAGTGGCTCTTGTCAACTAGCCCGCAGCTTATGCAACTGCGCCATGGAGGACGGTATCTGACTATCGTGAATTGTTAGCTAAATGCGATATAGCCCGACGCATCCTCCACTGCCATGCAGGCACCTGCCATGCAGATGACAGCGGTCGGCCTTCCGGCGTCAGGACTTCCCGGTTGCGGCAGCTATGAATCGACATAGCATTTTGTGGAATCCGTACGGGCGAATTGGTATTACTTATGAATGGAAGGATTTTGGTGAGTATTTTTGTTCGTCGCAATCAGCCGACAATTCAGATATGTCGACCAGCTGTCCGGAAAAGCACCAGACGGCCGTTTCGCCCTATTGGGGCTCATCAGTGGTGCGCATCCTTCGGTCCTCTACGGAGGATCGAACCCATGACTGCTAGTGGCTCTTGCCAACTAGCCCGCAGCTTATGCAACTGCGCCATGGAGGACGGTATCTGACTATCGTGAATTGTTAGCTAAATGCGATATAGCCCGACGCATCCTCCACTGCCATGCAGGCACCTGCCATGCAGATGGTAGTCAGATACCGTCCTCCATGGCGCAGTTGCATAAGCTGCGGGCTAGTTGACAAGAGCCACTAGCAGTCATGGGTTCGATCCTCCGTAGAGGACCGAAGGATGCGCACCACTGATGAGCCCCAATAGGGCGAAATGGCCGTCTGGTGCTTTTCCGGACAGCTGGTCGACATATCTGAATTGTCGGCTGATTGCGACGAACAAAAATACTCACCAAAATCCTTCCATTCATAAGTAATACCAATTCGCCCGTACGGATTCCACAAAATGCTATGTCGATTCATAGCTGCCGTAACCGGGAAGTCCTGACGCCGGAAGGCCGACCGCTGTCATCTGCATGGCAGGTGCCTGCATGGCAGTGGAGGATGCGTCGGGCTATATCGCATTTAGCTAACAATTCACGATAGTCAGATACCGTCCTCCATGGCGCAGTTGCATAAGCTGCGGGCTAGTTGGCAAGAGCCACTAGCAGTCATGGGTTCGATCCTCCGTAGAGGACCGAAGGATGCGCACCACTGATGAGCCCCAATAGGGCGAAACGGCCGTCTGGTGCTTTTCCGGACAGCTGGTCGACATATCTGAATTGTCGGCTGATTGCGACGAACAAAAATACTCACCAAAATCCTTCCATTCATAAGTAATACCAATTCGCCCGTACGGATTCCACAAAATGCTATGTCGATTCATAGCTGCCGCAACCGGGAAGTCCTGACGCCGGAAGGCCGACCGCTGTCATCTGCATGGCAGGTGCCTGCATGGCAGTGGAGGATGCGTCGGGCTATATCGCATTTAGCTAACAATTCACGATAGTCAGATACCGTCCTCCATGGCGCAGTTGCATAAGCTGCGGGCTAGTTGACAAGAGCCACTAGCAGTCATGGGTTCGATCCTCCGTAGAGGACCGAAGGATGCGCACCACTGATGAGCCCCAATAGGGCGAAATGGCCGTCTGGTGCTTTTCCGGACAGCTGGTCGACATATCTGAATTGTCGGCTGATTGCGACGAACAAAAATACTCACCAAAATCCTTCCATTCATAAGTAATACCAATTCGCCCGTACGGATTCCACAAAATGCTATGTCGATTCATAGCTGCCGTAACCGGGAAGTCCTGACGCCGGAAGGCCGACCGCTGTCATCTGCATGGCAGGTGCCTGCATGGCAGTGGAGGATGCGTCGGGCTATATCGCATTTAGCTAACAATTCACGATAGTCAGATACCGTCCTCCATGGCGCAGTTGCATAAGCTGCGGGCTAGTTGACAAGAGCCACTAGCAGTCATGGGTTCGATCCTCCGTAGAGGACCGAAGGATGCGCACCACTGATGAGCCCCAATAGGGCGAAATGGCCGTCTGGTGCTTTTCCGGACAGCTGGTCGACATATCTGAATTGTCGGCTGATTGCGACGAACAAAAATACTCACCAAAATCCTTCCATTCCTG